GAGGTTGTAAAGAGGTGGGGGCTGACCTCCCTAGTGGCAAGTGATAGGACAAGAGGAAATGGGTTCAAGTTATGCCAGGCGAGGTTTAGATTGGATATTAGGATTTTTTTTTTTCACTGAAAGGGTTATTAAACATCGGAACAGGCTGCCCAGGGAGGTGGTGGAATCGCCATCCCTGGAGGTATTTAAAAAAAGGGTAGACGTGGTACTTGGTGACATGATTTAGAAGTGGGTTTGTCAGGTTAGGTTAATGGTTGGACTTGATCTTAAAGGTCCCTTCCAACCTCAGCGATTCTATGATTCTATGACAAGGCACCATGGACACAAGTTGGAACACAGGAAGTTGCAATTAGGTACCAGGAAAAAAAAAAAAAAAAATCCTCTGGGTGGTCAAGCACAGGTCCAGGTTGCCCAGAGTGGTTGTGAAGTCTCTATCTTTGGAAATACTCAGAACCTGAGCAGGGGTGGTGCTGAGCAGCGTGCTATATCTGGGCCTGATTTGAGCAAGGGGGTTGGGTAAAAGACCTCCAGAGATCTCATCCAACCTAAGTTATTCTATAAGACTATGGTTCAGGATTGACTTACTGTTTGCTTTTTTTCATGGAAATCTTGTAAAAACTCTAGAATACTCAAGACCATTTCAGGAATTCTCCTAAACCAGGATCTCCTGATCAAGTTCATGTTCCTGACTTGTGTGATTCAGAACAGACATTTCGATTTGCTATATGAGGACCTTAGTCATCAGAAGGGTAAGCAACCCAGAATCACTTAACAAACTACAGAAGCTTAAATAAAGTCTTTAAATTAAGTTAAAAGTCACCCAGTTCTCCCTATGCTTTTAGAAGAGAAAGACAAACACGTCCAGGCGTCAGACAGGTTGAATCAGACTCTGGAGGTGCAGATTTGCATCCACTGGAGAAAAAGGAAGCCAAAAATGACTTTACATTTACCTTCAGCTCATGTTACTCCCACTTTGGTTTAGGCACAGAACTTTTATACTTTTGTTGTTGTATTGCTAATGGTGGAAATCACTTTTCTTTACAGAGATTGTGCTTCTAAACTACATTCTTGGTGGTTAAGGCACATGGAATGAATCCGTACTTTGAACTCCCCCAAAAGATGCTTCCACTTAGCTGAGCAAAATCTGCTCTGCAGCCATTCTTGTCTTGTACAATTAATAGTTAGTTTCTTACTCAGATCAAAAACTGCTCCAGCAGAAGAGATTCACCCTCTGGTATATGATTTCTGACAAATGACAGGAACAGTTATCAAAGTTTAGACACCCTCAGTGGTGCAAAACCTCTCACATCTGCCTCCCACAGCCCTGGGCAGGGGCTTTCTAATGGAGGGGGAAAGGCTTCTCCCTCTTGCAGCAATATTTTGGGCTTTTCCTCAGGAGTACGATTCCCCATTAGATTTGGAACTCACCTGGACAACCCCGTCTTCCCTTCTTGTGTAATCATACAATCATAGAATGGTTTAGGTTGGAAGGGACCTTGAAGATCACCGAATTCCAATCCCCCTGCCACGGGCAGGGACACCTCCCACTAGACCAGGTTGCTCAAAGCCCCATCCAGCCTGGCCTTGAACACCTCCAGGGATGGGGCATCCACAGCTTCTCTGGGCAACCTGTTCCAGTGCCTCACCACCCTCAGAGTGAAAAATCTCTTCCTAATACCTAATCTAAATCTCCCCTTTTCCAGTTTGAAGCCATTCCCCCTCGTCCTATCACTACACGCCCTTGTAAAAAGTCCTTCCCCATCTCTCCTATAGGTCCCCTTCAGGTACTGGAAGGCCACAATAAGGCCTTCACGGAGCCTTCTCTTCTCCAGGCTGAACAACCCCAACTCTCTCAGCTTCTCCTCATAGGTGAGGTGCTCCAGCTCTCTGATCATCTTTGTGGCCCTCCCCTGGGCCCGCTCCAAGAGGTCCATGTCCTTCTTATGTTGTGGACTGAAGAGCTGGACTCAGTACTCCAGGTGGGGTCTCACAAGAGTGGAGTAGAGGGGCAGAATGACCTCCCCTGACCTGCAGGCCACACTTTTTCTGGTGCAGCCCAGGATACAGTTTGCCTTCTGGGCTGCGATCGTGCTCACGATTTGTCTGTTTGGATGAATTTGATTGCTCTTAAAACTGCAGGAAGAAACATTTTTACTATGCTTGCATCAGTTCAGATAAAGCAAAAACAGTATCAGTGAGGGTTTTCTGTATGGCCATCCCTTTTAACATCAACTTAATTTCTGAAAACTTTACAACAATTTCATCATAACGTAAGCAGTATTGTCTAGATTTCAGTATTAGTACTTCAGTGAGGCTGGTGAAAATCATGTGACTGCAGTTCAGAAAGCTTTTTCATTTGCAGCTGTGCTTTGTGTGACTAAATACTAAATACTGTGTTTGAGTTTTCTGTTTTGGTATCTGTATTTATAATCTCTCAGCATACCCAGAAGTTTAGCTAGAAAGCTTATTTCTGAACAACTGAGTAACTAAAGTACAGCTGAGCAAAACAGGATATCCTGCCTTACAATCCTTACTATGTCAATATTTTCAAGCCTGTCTTAATATTTAGATATCTAAAATATAGACTAATTTTTCAGACTATTCAAGCTATTTTGAGTTGTAGTCTTACAGGTTTTTTTACAGGTTTTTTTAAAGTCAGTCAGGTATTTTGAATGTAGATGTTTATCCCTAACTTCAAGCATTGACATACAGCACTGTTTGGTGTTGTCTTAACTGCCTAAGCAAATTTGGCAGCAGGCCAGCATTTCTGAATATAAAATTCAGGAAGTTTTTGGTTTTGGAAAGTGAACTCCAAACCGTAAACCCCATAAAACCCACAAAATCATAAACCCCATAAAAAACAGTGTGCTCTGTATACTTTCCATTACTCCTAAGTAGAGTCTATTTACCCTGTCCAAAGGCACTCTGCAGATCAATAAAATACCTACTTTACTTGTGCCATTTCACACTGACTGATGATGTCCTCTCAACTGAAGACAAATTGTGAAGCAGTAAACTCACATAAATCCAAACATACAAGCAGATCCAAAATACCTTCCTGGTAAGCTAATCCTGCTGGGGATCCCACTAAAGGTAACCTTTTCCCTCTGAAACGGCACGGTCATTTTTACCTGTGGCACTGAATTACAACACTACTAAATCAGGATTGCACGGCATTCCCCTGCGTGGTTTTAGAAGACCACGTGAGGAGCAACACAAGGGAGAAGGTGGGCTAGACTTTCTAGGCACCTTAGCTGCTCAAACAGGACACGAGTCCAATAGAGGACTCATGAAAAGCAATAGTTCTCATCCTACATGCTTGTGAATGCAAATCTCTGGAGGACTCGAAGAGCATGAGGAGGACAGCAACGTGTGCAGGCCCTGCCTATTGCTGAGGAGCACATCATGTACCATAGCAAGACACAAAGGCTGACTTCCTGAGTTCCTCTCAGCATCCTTAGGTATCTCCCGCAGCCATTAGCAAGCTGGGTCCTGCTCATAGAGCCTGAGGAGACGGAAGTCAATGGCAATTTCTATGAAAGCCCACACACATCCCTGGAACGTCATCTGTTCTTCAAAAACTCTCAGTAGTCCACCTCCTAGGAACTAAACACTTCATGCCACGGGAAGCTGAGCACCAGCAGGAAGTGTATCTGTAGAGAGATACCTATGCAAAGAATTCTAGAAAAAAATGAATTGAGCAAAATTAAAATGTGTGACTTATGCGTAAGGGTTCAGAATTGTTTTACAAACCTCCCTCCGAACCTTTCATTCCTTCCAGGTGGACCAAAAATGGAATGTTTGCTTTTCACGCAGACCTATTGTTTTATTAGTGTGTGTGCAGAAATGATGCTCACATCTGAAAGACCTGAGAGAATGTGAAAGTTGTGCTATAAACCCTCACTTTCTGCTTCATTTACAGGTATACTAATGAGTTTTTTTCCACTCTGTGTTCTTTGGTCTTTTTTTAACATAAAAGCTTTGAGAATATAATTAAATAGTCCCATCCCATTTCCCTCCCTGCTCCCTCCCTAAAAGGATGCTGAATAGACAATCCTTGCAATGTGCAGTTAAAAAATGGGAGAACGGAGACATGGATACGTTAAGCAATCTTCCCCAAAACACACAGAAACCCAGTGGCAAAGCCAGCAATAAAAACATGGTTTGAAAAAACCCTTCATACCTGTGCTATGTAATTCAGTCAATAATGTAGAACTCTGCGTGGTACAAATTAAAATAACGCTTTTATTGATATGCTTAAACATAAAACATAGGTAACATCATAAAAAACCAAACAAAAGATAAATCTATTCCTTGATGTACCCAACAGACAGACATTTCTTTTTTTTTCCTCAGTAATTACCTGGAGGGGGATTGTCATCTTCCCTCTGACCTGTGTATCAAACAGCCTTCGCTTTATGGGTTTTTAACTGTGTTGATTTGTTCCCATGGAGTCTAAGGACTGCAATGAGCACCGCAGTTGCGGCTGTTTTTCCTAAAGCCAGATCCCAAAAGGAGCACCGTGTCCATTCCACCTAAATGCCGCACAAAGGGTTGTGTACCTTTGCAGCCTTCCAGATGAAGCCCTGACAGATCCCAGCAGAAGGGAGGTTATTAATCTGCTTCTACTGGAATGCAAAACCACCAAGTTGCGGGTTCCTCTAGGACATGTTTTCCTTCAAAGTTATCGAGGCTTGGAAAAGCCACAAAGCTACCAAGAAAAAGTAAGATCAGAACTCAAAAAGATTTCTAATAAAGATAAACCTAATACATGTTTATTCTATAAATATTTTTTTCCTGTCAAAAGACAAAACACTTATAGAAACATACAAGAAACATTCCTTGGAAAAAAATGAAGCTAAGGAAAATTACAAAGGATCAGCTGCTTTAATTTCACTCAAACCTTGCAGAATTGTGCTGTGCTCAGTCCTGTCTGTAAACCCACCACGGTTCCCTCAGTGCAATCACTCTATTTCTCTCTTGCTTCGTAAATGCTTTTGTTAATCACTCTTGTCTTCTCCTTGGTAGTGTCTGTATTCTGGCTTCAGCTCCCATGTGTTTTTGTGGGTCCCCTTCACGTTGTAGATGCCTATTTCTCTTAAAATTTCTTTCAAGTATATCTGAAAGGAAACAAAAAATTCAAGTTATACAGACAGACAATTACCACGGTTCCTAAACGACATCTCAAGATCTGCTCAATCACATCAACTCAGCTTGTAAAAATGACTTGGCGGACAGCAAGGTTGGCTGATCGGCACTACCTTGTGCGATAACGTCTCTGTGATAGACTTCAACCCCCAACAGGGGTTAGAGCAGCCCGGGTGTAACACCCGGCCCGGCACAAGCCCCAGGGATGCAGCAGGGAGCACCCGAGCCCCAGGGGTGACGGCTCGCAGGCAGTCCCTGCGCAGCCCTGCCGGGGTGCCGAGAGGCAGGCACTAGCTAGATGGATGCTCGTGGGCTGCCGAAACGGAGCTCCCAGCGCCTCCGGGAAGGCGATGCTGAGGTTACTGCAGACCCACAGCAGCAGCACCCACCCACAGACGAGCTAGTGGAGATGCTCCACAGCTCCTGGCTCAAGATGGGGCACTTGCAAAATCAAAAGGCTGAGATATGCCCATCGTACCCTGCGTATCAGAGGCACAGCTGGCCTAAAAATCTGTGTGCTGTTACGTTTCTCACATGACTATGGAGAAGTGGGGCCGCAGGCAGGCTTTCTGCCCTGGGAGATGTGCGGGTGGCCACTGTGCACAAGGGGCTCCCCAGGGTGGTGGGACACAGCCACTGTGCGGGTCTGTACATCACCGTTATGTCACACACCTTCCCCCTGCTGGAATTTCTCCACCTAAGCTGAAAGCTCTTGGCTTTTTGTCTTGCTTGGGCTGGGATTATCTGGAAACTGCCTGCCTTATTCAGACCCCATCAAAGCCCCGAGCTGTTGATTTTCATTTTGCAAAGCTTTAAGCATTTTATTATGGCCTCGTTTTTAGAGGACAGCTGAGTAGATGCCAGAGAATTTTCTAATACATTCAAATATTAAGGCTAGGAAGAGAAATTAAAAAAAAAAACAAACCCACAAGCAAAGCTATGATAACCAGTAGTATAACCTTTGACAAAAGACAGCTAACTAATATCACGAAATTAAAAAAAAAAAACCCCACAAGCAAAGCTATGATAACCTTTGACAAAAGACAGCTCACTAATATCACCCTCCTTTACTCTTTATAATAAACACCAGTAATTTGTTTCATTTTTTAAAGAGCCATTTGCCTGCTTGTTTGTTTAAATATTAATCGGGACTGACTTGAGTGGATTGCCATGGCAACCACAGACCACAGTTTAAGAATCCCCACATTAAATTAATAATTGCTTTAGTTTGAGCAATTTAATCCTCTTTGAGTGCATATATTGAACTGGAGTTACTGGAACCCTTGTATTTTCTGTATCTACCGTTCCACTAAGTGCAAATATCAACATACTCCAACTCATTAAAAAAGCAAATATTTGTTGATAACATAGGAAAAAAAGAAAAGCCGATTGCCCAGTCTTTTCCTTACACCATTCCCATTTTTTCCTAAACAGAAAAGTTGGGAAATAAACAAAAAGAATGTTCTCAGTCAGTGAAAAAAGTATCTTTTATAGAAACTGATTGTTTCTCTCTCTGCACGTACACATCAAAAATTTACAAAGCAAAAAAAATCCTGACTCCACGCTAGTGACGATACTTCATTTGGACTCATGTAGCAAAGTGATTTTTAAAAACCTATCTTGAAGCAACGAGGGCTGTTTAAAAGATCACTTTATCCAACAAGTAAGAAAGATGACCATTAACAGACTGCGTCTCCAAACTAGTTTCTTAGGGTCTTCTCTTTGACCAAAGCGGCTGCGGGCAGGAGCTGTGAGCGGGGAGCTCATTTTGCGCTGCAGGGATGGCTCTTCAGTCCTTGAGGGTTCACAACGCAAACCCCAGCAGGTGGCAGCAGGAGATCAGTATACCTCTCTCAGCACACCTTTCCACATCTCATCGTTGCAGAGATGCTGTCAGTATTTGAGAGTCAGGTGTCTGAGACGAATGTACTCACTATAACAGCAACTAGTGCACAAGCGGTTTTGTACGGTGACGCTGCCGTTGTGCAATGCATTTTTTTAAAAGGTCATTAAAGCAGGTGAAAAAGTGATTTCTATATAAGTACGTGTAGATGTGTATACCTGCATATCCACTGCTTTGTTTGCAATCCTTGTGCATGCACACGAGGTAGATTTCAGGAGGGTCACTGAACAGGCACTTCAAAAGATGGCAGAGTGCATGGGAGAAACACGCTCAGATTCAAGGTTAAATTCTGCTCTAGACCACGTGGACAGATTAATGAGAATTGGAAAAAAAAAAAAAATTATAATTGCCTCTCGTCCCATGAAGTACATCTATATGCAGTTCCTGGGCTGAGAGACCTAGTCTGCATCTGGGAAGCCAGGTCACGAGCTGTGACCATACCGAAGGGCTGAGGCAGAACGAAACCCCAGACGGCTCTGCATGGTCCTCGGCTCCCAGCAGCTCGCTGCTGTTCGGTGGCAGTATCTTTGGGTGACATTTTCCACAAGACAGTTCTCGCCTCTCCCTACTTGCTCATGCCTCCAAACCACCCACCCAGTTAAACAAAGGTTACTTTTCATTTCAACTAGTTTTCAGACCCAACTCTCCAGGCAGTTACGCTTCTCTCTGGGCAAAACTTCCAAGAGTTTTGATTCAACAGCGGAACAAAACGGAACAAAACCAACCCAAAATGAACGGTGAGGTAACGTCTGTGCCACAAGTGAGGGGACTTCAAGCTGGGACTGGGAACTACAGCAACTGAGAATTTGCAACATTTTCCTATTTGCTGTCTCTGCTGCGGGGGGAAACAAGCAGCAGTGCTTTTGGGCAGCGCAGCTGAGAGTGTTTAGCCCCGAAAAAATCATTCTGCATGCACAGACAACACTGAATTGTTGGGAGGTTTTAGACAACTACAAATCGGGGCTAATTCTGCTGTACTCTTTTGTACTTGAGAGCAAGTGGCTCGATGAGATGAGTTCAGGGGACGTTATGATTTTTCCTGCAGGATCACTTCTCCTTCCAGAAACCAGAACGCTCCGCCTGGGTCTGCGCTGTGCCAGGTTGGCCCATACATCTCGAAGCATACGACTCAGTCTGATACTGTGTCATCAAGAGAAACCCCCCACTATCCTCCAGTGATGCCAAATACTGAATTTTAGAGCCTGGTGAGTGTTAATCACGGGTCCACAATTTCTCCTCAGAAGGTGATTTGTCGTGTTTATATACATGCTATTATAACACAGAAGCTAATCGGCGGGTAATCTGTTTACACATTTAAGGCATCATCTTCTTTGTTACATCTTCCCCCATGATTTTTTCCATAAAAAGTGAAATGTTATTACAGAATTATGGGATAAAAAATTTCTGAAAAGCTGAGAGAGGAGTTAACTTCCAAGTTCTGAAAACCCTTCCAAAACTCTGAGGGGGTGAAAAAACCACACCACACTTAGGATAACCATTACTTAAAGCCGAAATATAAGAAAAAACTGTAAAAAATCTACCCCATTTTGAAAAAAAAATGCAGTTCATATTAGACTACTGGTTCCATTCTTCACAAATATTTGGTTGCTCACATAAAAAGCATATTATGTTCTCAGCCATTAAGTCCAAATCTAGAATTACTGCAGTATTTCCAGGGAGCACTTGGTATTTACATCTGGGTAGGTGGCAACAGATTTGCCTACTACTGCAAATTGTTATTTTTCATTAAAAAGAAAAACAAACAAACCCAGGTTTTCCTAATATAACAGTAGTTTTCATTTGGAGTAGACTTGCTTTGTGATTTCACGATCGCAAAATAAAGATGGCAGCAACTTCCCATGTAATATGCAACATATTCTGTAGCAAGGGTTTAATTTACTATTTACATATACCATTATGTAAGAAAAATGCCCTTATTTATTTGTTACTTCACTAACAAAGATGTTGATTCCCTTAGACGAATGTGTTTTAAATATTCTTAGCCAGTGATGTAAGCACCTAGAACTTACATTTTAACAGGAACTAAGAAGACAGCGGCAGCTGTATTTTTTTCTCGTGTCTGAAAATAACCTCAACACTTAGAAACTCAAAGGAGAAATTACATACCCAGACAATCTTAGACACTATGACAGAAAATAAAGCAGTGAACACTCAGCAGAGATTAATTAGCAGCCAACCTCTGTACAGCACAGAGAAAGTACGCCTATTCACCTGTTGGCATTTTACATTTTTTTGTCAGGTAAAGCTGCTCTGTGAACAATAAAGTCACAGTGGGCATTAGGAACAGATACTTTATTTGCAGAAAAAAACCCAAAGTTGCACACCAGAGGCTGAAGTCCGCAGCACCAGGGATGCTCGCACACAGAGCGAACACCGGCTGAGCAGCAGGAACCAAGGGATAGTATTTTTAAATGGAAATGGATGCCGTTAGCAACTCCCTACAAAAGTTTTTAACCAGAACCCAGATGGGAAATTATGGTAGCTTTAGATGAGGGGTAGATGACGTACTGAAAGACAGTTGTGAATTTATCACCATACTGGCTCCCCAACGAATGAAGGAAGGCGTAAGGAAGAGGATTTCCGTCATTTATTTTCTCAGGATATTCGGGTCTGAGGAAGCTGGAAGGGCAGCAACACCTAGGGCAAAAAGCCCGGCTGGAAACGAACACGAAACCCCTCACTCTTGCACACAGCTCAAAACTGAGACCGCACAGCCCACTCAGGGGGAGAGGATTTAAAGGTCTGACTACTCTCAGGAGCCCTGCAGGATTTTTAGCTAGCAGTAGAGATACTCAAATAAGAAACAGAGATGCAAAGATATAGCCCAAATAACATGTGACGTTGGGTCAAATTAGTTTACAATTTCCTTTTAATGTATCTGCATTACTACAATAGTTGAAAAAAAAAAAAAGGGCTAGATTTGCTGAGATGAAAGGATACAGCACAGATCCACTACACTACAGGCAGAATACACTCAGAAGCATATAATGATAGCAGAGATGCACAGACAGGCATAGAAATTTATCATAAAAGTAACAGAAGTATTCACGTGAGGTATTTTGCAAACACAGAATACAAAACTACCCTATATATCTAACCCTTCGGGCAGCAACTAAGGCAAAGATTGGATTAATCTGGCCCAGCTTCTGGTGCTTAATGAAGAAACTTGTGTCAGAAGCGCAGTTTTTCCAGGCTCCTTTGAGATGATGAGAGACAGGTACATTCAAGACGCAAATCACATCATAGAAGGAAGAACGCTTTTGTTCTCCCATGGCTTAAGTGGGAGTTGTGGGTGACTATTTCTAGCTGAAGCCATGTTAGATGGGATAAATCTGCATCTACTTACATTCAAAGTGATCGAGACAGTGACTATCACACCTATCTCTTACCAAAAAAAAACCTTAAATTTTTCTTGCCACTCCCTCCGTATCTTCATCCTATTCCTTCCTCCTTTTCAGCTCCCATGATCCACACACCTTCTCTGCCACACAGAGAACGAGTTGACTCATTAGATAAGTGAATGGAATAGAAGACATGAATATATTATCCAACTAGTTTCTTCCAAGGTACTAGAATACCGTGAACCTACATGTATTTGAATTGGGTAATATCTTCATGCAGCTTCTTAACCGAACAGATCGCACACCTTGTATTATATAAATCCTCTGATACAGCTCCACTTAATTCCAAATGTGAAGTGAGCAAAACCAGTAAGCATCTCCATTTTGTTCCCCTCTTTTAAAGAAGAATTTTTTCCAGAATCCAGCTGTCATTGTTCCTTCTTCTGCCTTAGCTCTAACAACTTTTGAAATTGTTCCTCCATTTAGACTCAAACATAATGAAGTCCCTTTAAGTTTTCTGAAAACTGCAGCTGCATTGAGTATAGATATCGAAGTCAGCACTGAAAAACATCAAAAGCACCAAAGATACTTCATGTGTCATTGTCTACCTCTGCTCCTGCCTGGTCTGCTCAAGGAAAGCTTGAACAGGGGAAGAAGGGAAAGTTAACTGGAAAGTTCGGGTTCACAGACAAAGGAGCTGGCAGACATCGCAGGGTAACACAGTCATCACGTGAGCACACATCTTCATGCTTTTCTTGTTTGTGCATCAAAACTGTTTAAAAAAAAATCAACCCAAACCCCAAATATCAACTCCCCGAACTCCTAGTCTAAAATTTATTCTATTTGTAAAGGAAATCAAGTGATTTTGGGGGTGCTGACATCATGCCTGAGCTCCCAATATGGATAATGTGTGTATTTAATACCAATTCCATGAAACACAATTTTCTAGACCCATAGAAAAACAGTAACCCCTGCTGCTATGCCAAAATAAAGTTCAGAGGCTGAAGGAAGGGCTGACCACCCACTTACACAAGCTCTCTACTGCTGACTGCAACAGAATTAAGCTATTACTTCAGTGAGGGAAGGAGTAGTATGGAGGAGGATCAGAGCATTACAGAATTTGTTTTCTGCTATTAAAGAGAACCTAAATAAGAAAGAGACCATTTAGGTTAGTTAAACCACCTCTGCCAAGAAAAAGCATACTCACTGCAATGCTTGGTATCCTAGAGAGTCCTACAATGGTGAACTTAAAAACTTTATGATTTCCATTTGTTGTAAAAGACATTTAGAGAGCTGTTTTAAAGGCATATAATATACATTGAACTATTTTCTGGACATGGAAAATATACACAATTTTAACTACTGAAAATGGTTATACTACAAGACTACTAGTACATACCACCGGCTGTTTGGTTATGTCCACCAGGTCTTTAATGTTGTAGTACTGGTGTTTCTCAAAGGCTGAAAAAAGCATGTCCAACACTTGTTGTTTATCAGCTCGAGCCCTTTTTCCATCTTCTTTCTTCTTCTTCTCATATTCAATCTATCAGATACAAAACATGTTTTAAAGACATTCATATGTAATGTCGCATAATTTTCAGTGCTGAAGATTAAGACATAAAAAACCTCATCTATTTAATAAAACACTGTTCAATGACTCAGTGCTTTTCATCTGGAAAATTTTCTTTTGAGCACTCGAATGTTCTTTTATGAACATAAACTAAGCATTTTGTCCTCAGCACAATAGGCTTTTCAGATATGTATCTCTGCGTTAACCAGTAAAAAACCCCAAAACCAGAGCCCAAACCTGGAGAGAGAATTACTATTAATACAGGAATCTAAACTGAGATCATATTTTCACTCCACCTCTGTTGACATCAGCTTCTGAAGCATAATGACAAATATAAAAAACCCTACAAATTACCACATTCGGGAAAATCCACACACCAACATGGCTACATCCACAGTCATAACAACCACCTGTCCAAAGGATGCTCAAATGGCCCTCAGATACTGCCTCATCTGTTCCAGAAACAACACTCAAGGCAACCGCTTCATCAATATAAAATCAATCTTCACCGAGTGAAGACGCACTTCAAGGACGCAGATGGCATCTCTTCAGGAGAAACCTGAGTAGCACACACAAACTTATGGTAGTCCGAAAAAAGCCACCCAAGGAAGTAGACGCCTGTCATTGCCACACATCATCCTATTTCAGAATGCATATTAAAAAGTATTTAGCTATCATAATCTGCACAAGATGACCATGTATTTTTGTGGAAACTTTTATCGCTGCCAGCATCCAAAAATACTTCCTGCATTTCCTCACGTTCATCATCAGAAGCAAGACTTGCACAGACCAACACACCCCAAACAAACCCCAATCACTGCAGAGTGCCAACCACAACATCTGCCAGCACATTACCCCATCCACCCCTAATACCACCCTTGATAACAGAAAACCACCAAGCTCCTTGGAACTGACAAACGTGACCCAGAAGGTAATATAATTCATGTAATCTTTAAGTGCTTTCAGGCAAACTACGTGGGTGAATCCAAAGCGGCACAATGCATAGCAGAAGAGATGCATGTGATCAATAAGGGACACATGCCTGGCTGCCAGTGGGATACTTTTGTACAGGAGTTGTTCTGCCTCTGATGTCTCAAACCTGATCCTCAAAAGTAAGACCTTCAGAGAAGATGCCTAGAATTGAAAATTCACAGTTCTACTGGATACTAAAAATCTTATTTTTAAGAAAAGAGATTAGTTTCATGGCACAATTTATTTTTTCCTATGTTTCCTTGCCAGCTAACTCCCTCCTACTCTCTGAGTGAAAATAGCCTGTCTCTTGGTATTTGTCCCAAAGTGGCTAAAGACTATTACCACCTTTGCTGCTGCTCACACGTCTCTGGACAGCCAACTATCTCAAATCCTGAAACAGATGTACATGTTTACTTTGAACACAGAGCAACTGTTCCCAACCTGTAGCTTGAAGACTGTTGCTTCTGCTTAAAACCTAAGATGGGCTTGGGCATCCAAATACTTGTCTGCTTTTCCAACCGTATGTTAGTGTTATAAAAGATTCAACCTCTCCACACAAACCCACACAATTGATTTTTATCCACTAATAGACTTTGATGCAACTACTTAACTCTTTAGCCTCTGCATTTAAAAAAAATAAACCTTTAAAACGGTAATAGCGTTGCAACAATAGCAAACTGTAGCATCAAGTAAAACAGCTTCACAGTACATCATCTTGGTTGCCACGATCTACAGCAGAACTGCTATGCCACAGAAACTCGAGCAGGAACACAAATCTAGGACATTGGCCTTGCTATTAACAATAGTGTGTCAAAACATTTGCTTCTTCTGAAAGCACGACAGACAATTAATTAGGAACCTCGGTTGACCTGGAAAAGGTTTTAATTGTAAGTTTTGGAAGGCCTGCTGTGGATTTAATTTCTGTTTCTCTACCAGTATAGTCTCACTACGCAGTATAATGCAAGTAGACTGCATCTATTTGTAAAACCATGAAGTAGAACTGCAATGGCATTGAAATATATATGAACAAGTCTCCTCAGCTGACACTCTTCAAAACTACAAGCCCAAAATACCAAGCAGCATGGCTGGCGTGTGCTCTGCCTTGCAACTCCACCAACAAAGCAGTTGGCCAGTTCTCTACTGGGTGTGTGTATATATATAGTCATACAAGTATTGGAGAAATAGGGAAAATCTCATTCACCTAAAAGTCTACTATGACCTACAGCGATACCCATGTCCTGGTAGGTGAGGAAGGGTTTCTGTATGAAGCACTGAAAGAAATGATACAAAGAGCATGAAGTAGGATGAGATTGGCCCTTTGCTGCATGAAATGTAGGATGAAATAGGAGCTGTGTGAGAGTGCTTGTCTCTTCTGCTGCCTGAAAGATAAGCAATACGCTAAATCAACTGTTTGATTGCCCAAAAGTTCTTTGCATCCTATCTTCATCTGATCTGACACTAGTCAGTTTGCGGCATTAAAAATGCTTTTAATTTACACCTGGCTTAAGTCAGAACTTACTAAGATATACGATGAGAATTTATATTTTTCCCGACAGAGAAACCACCTCTCTAGAGCAATCATCTACTGCCACTGCCATGTTCTACTCAATGCAATGGTGTAGGGACTTGCTGTAAGGGCATGGGTGTATCCTGAGGACAGTGAAATATGCAGGGCTTAAGACGTGCACTTTATGTATGATAGCTGTCCCTTCGGTCTTAAAAAAATACATGAATATGTCACATCTCAGGCTACAGTCTAAAGTTGATACTTCATGCTAGCATTGAAAAGCACCTTTTATGATCAGTACTCCATTACACTGTATATTTTGGAAGTCTTATTTCCATCTACAAGAACAATTTTGGTTTTTGTTTTCTAATATTATTTGTATTTGAAAACTGCAAATTTTTTGACAGGGCAAAACCCCTGTCCCATAAGTAATGAGACTGACAGTGCTTCAAATAAATGAATGAGTAAGACCATCACAAAGTATGATGGTATCATCATTCTACGTGGAATGAAACCAACATAGAGAAATTACCTGGCATGCACAAAGTTGCAGACAGTGCCATGTTACATTGTGTTTTCAGAGGAAAATAAGTCAACAACAGCAACCCAAACATTATTAAAAATAATCAATCAAGCTGGGTACAACAAGTATTTTTTGGTCATGTTTGAAAACTGCTCCAGATTTTTTCTCTCTGATATTTGATTGTCAAACACAGGAACTACTGTCCCGTAGGATATATTGTACGTTTCGCTCCACAGAAGGAGGAAAGCAGGAACTGCAACTTTATGTGATCCTCTTCGAAAATCAAGACGCTGACACTACATTCTCCTGGAAGCAGAGTTTTCTAATTAGCCACTGCAATCAACTGCAGTGGGCTTTCTTGTGGCTGAGTTTTCAGCCTTTTTTGACTCAGGGGTGCACAGAATTTTCCAGTTTCTCTCTGCAGTTGCTGATCAGGTCATGGCTGACACTGGTAAACAACGCTCTACTGGATTTTTGATACAGCCCTACTGCATTCGAGACACTGGCTTATGGGAGACTAGGACTGAGGACTTAATAATGTTGTAAATATATGCATGTTAATATTTTACAAGTGGAGGAGATGGATTATCCAGCATTAATTTGTTGCCAGAAAAGCATCCGATACTTTAAAGGTCAAGAGCAACTGATGTCATCTACCTGGACTTGTGCAAAGTGTTTGACACCGTCCCACACAATATCCTGGTCTCTAAATTGAAGAGACATGGATTCGACAAATGGACCACTCGGTGGATAAAGAACTGGCTGGACGGTCACACTCAAAGAGTTGCGGTCAATGGCTCAATGTCCAAGTGAAGACCAGTGACGAGTGGCGTTCCTCAGGGGTTGGTATCAACATCTTTGCCGGTGACATGGACAGTGGGGTCGAGTGCACTCTCAGCAAGTTTGCCGATGATACCAAGCTGTTTGGCAAGGAAGACACGCTGGAGGGGAGGGATGCCATCCAGAGGGACCTGGACAGGCTGGAGACGTGGGCCCATGCCAACCTCGGTGTGCTTATTGACCAGAAGCTCAGCATGAGCCAGCAATGTGCGGTTGCAGCCCAAAACGGCAACTGTATCCTGGGCTGCATCAAAAGAAGTGTGGCCAGCAGGTCAAAGGAGGTGATTCTGCCCCTCTACTCCATTCTTGTGAGACCCCACCTGGAGTACTGCGTCCAGCTCTGGAGTCCCCAACATAAGAAAGACATGGACCTGCTGGAGCATGTCCAGAGGAGAGCCACGAGGATGAAGTGAGGGCTGGAGCACCTCTCCTATGAGGAGAGGCTGAGAGAGTTGGGGCTGTTCAGCCTGGAGAAGAGAAGGCTCCGGGGAGATCTTATTGCGGCCTTCCAGTACCTGAAGAGGTCCTCCAGGAGAGCTGGGGAAGGACTTTTTACTAGGGCATGTAGCGATAAGACGAGGGGGAATGACTTTAAACTGGAAGAGGGCAGGTTTAGATTAAACATTAGGAAGAAATTTTTCACTTTAAGGGTGATGGAAGAAACCCATCTCCTTTTCTGTTTTTTGTTTTGGTTTTAAGGAGCAAGAACAAGAGTAAAGCGCTGAGGTTATTCCTTCTGTATGTGGCAGAGCTACAGGAATAATGGGTAACATGGGCGTATGGGAAAAGCTACTGGGACTCTCAAGGCAATCTCTGAGAAGAACAACAAAAAATCCATGGTACTGTTTGTACCTCTTCAAATGACATACAGTGAAAATGTGCTTAGCTAGCAACTAGCTGCTAGCTACAACTCTCCCCATGTAGAGAAAAAAACTACTCACTTTAAAATTGACGCTTCCTACATAAAGGAACAAAGTAACAGTAAGGAAATTCTCAACATTACCTTCACTGATGTTAGGTCTCCGACAGGACTATTTCATGACTGGGTATAAAATCCTGATTATATGAATAACAGTCTCCTGGACAATAACATGAAGCAGTCTTTTTAACCAAAGCACAATCCTTTTTTTTTTTTTTTTCCTAGTAAATTGTGATGCCCAGCATTCTTCTCTCTCTATTATTTTAGTGCCTCGGTACACTCTCCCCAGTAGGAGCTTCTATTTTACATTCTCTGGATGAGCTAAAGTAAATCAAGAAGGAGGGTTTGTGTTCTCTATACAAATGCAATGTGAAATTTCTAATATTCTTAATTCATTAATGTATAAAAACAACTCGCACAGAAAACTGAATCTCAAACCCTCCCTTTGTTGGGAAGTTATTTGCAGCTGGCATCCGAGTTGCCCACATTTTCATTAGCAACACGCCAGCATTTCCCTCCAACTTCAGCAACAGCTCCCGCTGTTGTCTAAAAACACGGAGTGCATTGTGAAGTGCTGTTAAAAAAAAAAAAAAGCACAGTATCTGTTGCTGTTTTCTTCTTTTTGTCTTGTGAATACGCTGCTTTTAGCAAGCTACAGCGCGGCCTTTCATTTTTTTTCCTTCCTGTTTTCTTTGCGAACAGGATGTTTTGTACATTGTAAACTAATTAATTTATTTAAAATTGTGCAGTTTTTAAATTTCAAAAGCATTAAAATATGATTTGCTTTCAAGAAAGGACCCTTTTAGAACAAGCTGCCGAGTACAGAAGTTGCAAGTTTATCCCTGCAAGACTTCATACAGAAATCAATTTCTCTTTGTTTACCTCCCCAGGATGTTGCCAAGCTTGCTAAAAGCTGCCAAAATTGCCTTCTTGAAGTTTTCATTAATACTGAAGCTGATGTATTACACTGCTTCGGTAGACAGCTAATACAAAGGTGATAGAGAAGTGAGATTAAATCTAAAGTGACATCTGATGACATCTGAAAGAAGTCTTAAAGGTTTTCCCATCACCCAGAGCACAGGTACCAACCTCTATAGTACAGGAGAGTGGTAAAAGGACAGACCACAAAGAAGCCTCTGAAGGAGTAACCAGGAGCCCTAGAGAACTTTTCTGCTACGTTACAAAAAAATAATGGTCACAGAAAAATTCCAGCTGCAAGAACATTAACATTGCAACCTTTTAAAGATGCACATCGTATACAGAAAATGAAGGTCCCCTTCCCAGACAAGAAAAGCTAAGTTATAATCCTGACGTATATCACAAGGGAATTGCAATTTCTTCTAATAAAAACATGGGTTTAATATAATTTCTTGAAAAAAAAAAATGATCACTTTCCCTGTCCTTGTATTCAAACAAGGTATTGCTATTTCCCAGTCACATATAATTTATTTCCATCTTCCTTCCTGTTAGATGTTCATTTAGGGGTACATGGAGCAGCCACACTTAAGCCCCATTTCATCTTCTCCCTTATCTCCCTTCAGGAAATTTTACCCTTTCTTAGTAAATGCTCATTCGTTCCTCAGAAACTCCCCTGAAGACAACCGAATGTATGAGCATGTATGGTAGTTTGCACATTTTTTTTTTCTTCTTTCTTGTGAAAAGTCCCCAACAGGGCTGTCATATAATTACAAGCAAGACAGCAAGTTTTAAGAAAGCAACTGCTGCTTGAAAACACCCGAAAAAGGTAACCAAGAGGTTTAAAAACTTCACGGACATGTTCTCTCAGTCGTTCATCTTTTCAGCCATCTAACCTGAACCTTAATAAAAGAGTTAATGAAAAGAAAGGTGTTGTAGGAAGTAGTCATGCCCGGGCCTCTAGAGTTAAGGCATGGCCACGAGTGACTCAAGTATCAGTATGTCCTACTAGATTTTTCCCATCAGAACACCTTTAAGGCAGACATGAAAAGTAAACTCACTGCCAATGGATTTCTGTTAGCATGGACAGCTATGTAACTGCTAAAAACATTACAATTACTACCCAAGAGCATCATAACTTTTAACAAGCCTGGTTACGTCCCGGTTATACCCCCTGAGTCTCACACAAGACCTAAATTTCTGTAATGATACAACAACCGCAGTTCGCAACTGGAATAAAGATTCAAAGATGGTCTCCAAGTTGAAGTCATACTGTTGTAATTATGCTACTGTCAGGGAAATGGCACAGAACCCCACTAAAAACAGACACTGTACATCACCGTAGCTCATTCCAGAATTAAAGAAAGAGAATAACAATAGCATCATAAAGCAATATACTCATATAAAACTGCATTTGCATAGCAGGATATACCAGTGTGACTATTTTGGTTAAATGTCATTCCCTTAGCTGAAATAGTTCTATTGGTATGATCATCTATGTATAGATCAGACTTTGAACAGTAACTACTACAAAACAGTCCCATGAGAAAGAAATGATTATTTTTGGTTCTGTGGAAATAGACTGCCTTTCAGAATAATGCTTAAATATCATCCAGTATATTGTCATTTGTTTTATGTAAACAAAATCTTAATAAAAAGTGTAAAAGTTTAAATGACTAACACAGTGACTCATTTTCAGTATGACTTAACATTTCTCACATTCAACAGTAACAGCGATTATATATGCATACACACAAATTACTCAAAGAGGATCTTTAAGAAAAAGGACATTATAGTTTTTATGTACATCAACTGATCTGGAACAGCAGTGTGGGTGTAATATTGACAAAGCTAATGATGCAAATAACACGTACTATGAAGGTATGAAACTGTGAAAAATTATCAGCTGTTATTCTTTTCTACTTGTTGTCAGTTCCTGCAAAGGACTGGAAACTAATGATTCTTTTCAAGTCTTTTACTCACCTCCATACGGTATTTTATTTGGCTCAAAGGAGTGCTTCCACATCTAATAGCACAAAGGCAGAACTGCCTTTTATCCCCAAATTTCAAAATTACATTTCAAAAAAGACTAGAAGAAGAATGTAATAAAGACACTAGAAAAGGCTCGGGTAAAGGTGGTCTGCCCTCCATCAGGCAACACGAGAGAGTTAGAATTGGCAGACCTTAGCCCCAAGGGTGATGTTGGTCTCAAGACAGAAAGAAGATCCCCAAAGACAAAATCAGGGAGAAAACAGATAAGATGGAACATTTCCAAAGACAGTGGCCAACTGCGAGCAAAAGGGCTGCAGGACAGCAGCACAGCGATTCTGGAGTCCTGAGCCAGACTCCTGGCTAGGAGAATAAGGGAGAATACTGAAAGCTACTTACATTATATTGATGATTAGCCACCGGTTTATAGTTCGTGGTTACGGCTTTGTCCAGCTGCTGTGATAGCCTTACAGGTTTAGAAGATTCTTCTATCTGTAATCTGCAAAAGAAAAGAAGAAGAGAATAAACAAAAAGTTCAGACGAGTACACACTCAAAATGAATTCTAAAAATCTGCAAGTACGAACCAGCCCGTGTCAAAGGTCAGCTGTGAACAAATCATACGGCAAAACAGATGCACTCTTCTAAACTAAGTTTTTCCTACTCTATTTTCACTTGAGGACCCTATGGATTATTAGGACACTATATGCTACAGAAGATACTGAAATACTAAAAACCAAGGAATTGTGAAGGGAAAACACTAAAAGCCACGTTTGAATACAAGTTTTATTCCAAAAAGCCTGTCACTCAGGTGGAAGAAAAGCTCATGCTCTTAAAAAGAGCCAGCAATGTGCCCTGGCGGCCAAGAAGGCGAATGGCATCCTGGGGTGCATCAAGAAGAGTGTGGCCAGCAGGTCGAGGGAGGTCATCCTCCCCCTCTACTCTGCCCTGGTGAGACCGCATCTGGAGTACTGCGTCCAGTTCTGGGCTCCCCAGTTCAAGAAAGACAGGGAACTGCTGGAGAGGGTCCAGCAAAGGGCAACAAAGATGATTAGGGGACTGGAGCACCTTTCTTATGAGGAAAGGCTGAGGGACTTGGGTCTCTTTAGTCTAGAGAAAAGAAGATTGAGGGGGGATCTTATTAATACATACAAATACTTAATGGGAGGATGCCAGGGGGATGGGAGCAGTCTTTTTTCAGTGGCGCCCAGTGATAGGACGAGGGGTAATGGGCATAAACTTGAACATAGGAAGTTCCATCTTAACATGAGAAGGAACTTCTTTACTTTGAGGGTAGTGGAGCACTGGCACAGGCTGCCCAGAGAGGTTGTGGAGTCTCCCACTCTGGAGACATTCAAAACCCGCCTGGACGCTGTCCTGTGCAACGTGCTGTAGGTGACCCTGCTCTGGCAGGAGGGTTGGACTAGATGATCTCCAGAGGTCCCTTCCAACCCTAACAATTCTGTGAATTCTGTGAAAAAGAGATGAAAGCCAGACCAAATGAACCCAGAATCTCTCAGCTTACCCAGCTGAGGTAAAAAACTTCCAATCCACCTCTGCTGACTCCCACAGCACAGTGAAGATCAGACTCCATGACCTCCTCTTAGATATTTTAATGTAAAAATATAAATTTCCGTGACCTTTCTTTTGGCATTATAGTGCAGTAACAGAGCACAAATAACTGTTTTACGAGCACTTTTAAAAATGTGAAGACAGAGAAATCCACCCAGGTTCAAACCAACGTACAATCAAGTCTCAGTCATGCAGTTAACGAAAGGTGACCTTCAGTCCTCTTCGGGGAAGACTCTGAGAAGGTCAGAGGTTGAACACATTTTGTCAAGCTCATCCCTGTGTAATTTAAAGCTTATGCATGATGGTCTAGCAGTGCTCCATTTACTTCAGGTTTAACACTCAAGAATTACTACTTGAAACAAAGATGCACGAAACCAAGCTTTAGAAAGGTGCAGGACAAAACCCCTTCTAAAATAGCTTAATGGCAATACAATTAATATTAAGATAAAACTAAGTCACCACCAGCGACAGCATTTTGTTTCCAAAGGTGTATCTTATAGGCAGAAGAGCCAATTTTCACTAAACACAATAAAAGACTTAAAGCCCAATAAATTTACAGTGATGTTTGCATGGTTCCAAAGAAAAATTAATTTTGTTACTTTAATGCAAATAATAACTGCATGTTTATTAATGTAAAACACAAAAGCAACAAAACAGACAGGACTTTAAAAAACACTGTAAGTGTTTGAGATCACTAATTTCTTTTCGTGAAAATGTAACGTAGACGCAAAAAGCTAAATTTAAATTCAGCATGCTTCTGATTTAACACCTGAACAACCTAAATAAATTACATTTGAAGTAAACATTAAATTAAGAAATAAATTCTCTGATTGTAGCAACGAGAACTAAAGTCAATCATCCTTCATAGTTAGTATGGCTGGACAGTAGTTGCCGGTAGTTTTGTCTCATACACGGATCGAAACTTACTTTCTCCTGAATCTTTGTAGACTTGTCATTTGTTCTATAGTTTTAATTACCCTTAAGCAACTATTGTCTTGTATTCTTCATTTCTACATCAGGAGAAGGTACATCAATGCCGTTTTCTGTCCAAACGTAGCACCTTTTTTTCTTAGCTTGAAGGATAATCGATCGGAAGGTAAACGAGCACTGAACACTTTTTACTCCTGTTCTGGCAAACAAAGGTAGAAGTTTTTATCACAAGAGTTTATCTTTTGGCCTTCAATCTAATTAAATGATTTTAAAGATTTTATTGATCTGGTTACCGAAGGTCTTCTAAACTCACATTTCACAAAGAGGCACAGGCTAAAGCTAAATCAATATCTTTTTTCCAAATCTGTCTCTTTCTCCATTTTGTCATTGCTTACTTTTTTTCTTTTTGGTCTCAATGACTTTTTCAATTTTTAAGTAGTTCGGCTAATTTTTTTTTTTTTTAATCTTCTCTTGCAGTTCTTCACCATTTTTTCCAACTGTTTTGACCTGGGGTGTTTTCCAGTCCTCCCTCTCCCCTGTTCTAGCTATTTTTCATCTCCCTCTCCCCTCTCAACATTTTTCCTTTCTGTAAAGATTTTCCACTCAACCTGTTTACTAATACTGTTCCTGTTCATGAGGCAAAGGCTTCTGGAGATAAACTGAGAATTCTTGTCTCTCCTTTCCCCTCCAAAGCCACAGCACCACCTTCATGTGGACCAGATTTAGATATTTGATTTCTGATGTTGATCCAGAGTCCTTCTCATTACAGCTGCAGCACAGGTAAGCGACAGACAAGGTTCCTAACAATATTAAAATAGACCAGATGGTCTCACGTTTTCAGGCAGTGTTAGGCTTTCAACGGTGGCATTTCTCTGTGATTAAATCCTCCTTGTACCAGGCTTTATATTCATTACTCTTTACAACCTAAATTTACAATATCCTCCATTCCTTCAGGAAAACAGCCAAAGAACAGTAGCCCTTCAATGATGAAATGCCAGAACACTGAAAATATGGACCTCAGACTGTCCTCAGAAGGAAAAGCTTTAGAATGGTGATGTCAACCCCCCTCCAGCTTCTTAATAAATTAGATATTTAAGCGTGCAAACAATTGATAACTCTTTAGCCTAGAGCCTGTCATGAACTTTGGACACCACTCGGTGTTGAAAGTCTCTTCCCGTTCTGGCATTTTAAAACTACAATCCAGGAAATTTCATCACCCATTTCAGTGCAGCTTCCACAAATTAATCCTTCTTTACATGAAAGAACACCAGCAATTTATTTCTCAACATTTTTCACTTGCCATACAGGATATGCATTTCAGGTTTTTTATTTTCAGCTGCTAATTTCCAAATCGGTAGAAAAACAAATGTGTAGGAGAACTAATGCACTCCTCAGAGGCCTCCAAAGCTTGATGGCAGTGAAGTTACTTTTAACATGTGAAGTTCCCCAGCACACAATCTTGAAAGCAAAGAAAAACTTCTTGCCTGCTCAGGAAATGGATGGAAGCCTACCAAGTGAAAATGGAAATGGAAAATCGAAGTTGGTTTGTGAAATGACGGACTTCAGAAAGATGTACATGTACCAACTAACAAATATACCAGCTACAAATGTTCACGTCTCTGAAGGAAATTTCAGAGATATCCCTGTTGTACTTCAAGGTTTCTTGCCAAAGGTTTCCAAATTATGACCCACAGACCTCAGATGGTATTTAGAAAACTGGCTAACAGTACAGCGCTAATGATTTTTCCTGTTCCTAGTTAATAAATTGCTGTAGGGAGAACCAAAAATATATTACATCCCTGGCATTACTTTTTAATGCAAGCAATTACAGCAGTTGCCACATGCCAATACGGAAATCTAAATGGGAAGTGCACAGTGACTCAGGAGGCAAACCTTTTTATTAATATGCATTTATTCTACACATGCATCTTGCTCTTCTCCCTAATGGCTGCCCTTCTCATTTCTTTTTCTGCAGCTTTCAAGATCTCCTGGAGAACGACAGAGCCTCATGGTGCTTTCCTTCCACCGGGCCTCCATACGGAATGTGGTCACACAATCCTATGTGGAACAACAGCTGCTGTGCATCTGGAGTTAACCTCCCCAAAATGCACAAATACAGGTAAAGGGCATGACAAATGTGGTATATACCTCAAATTAACAAATGGTTCATGTGTGCATAAAGCACTGAAATTTGCTTAGCACATTACAAAGGGTAAAGACAAATAGCCTGTAATCATTTTGTCCAGATCATGTGTTGGTACAGACACTATTTGCCACTATTTGCAGGGAAAATAAGGTGTGGAGGTTTTTTTTGTTTGGTTGGTTTGGTTTGGTTTGGTTTGTTTTTTTTTTCAAAACCATGCCATAATTTTCTCACATTCAGAAAGTATTATGTCTGGGTGAATATAACTGAGTTTTTAAATTTGTATAGCTGTTGTTTGAAAAAAGTTGATGAAATATAAATTTATATATTCTAGTAATTATACACTCAAAACTTTATAACAAAAGCTATGAATTGGGCATTATATCAGCCTTTTAGACCAATGTTTTAACATGTTACAGTTACTTTTAAATGCTCATTTCTTAAACAGAATTTAAAAAGCAGTATTAAACCAAGTATTATGTAGCATTTTGTACAGGGTTTTCTCAGAGTGGATCTGCTGACTCTTAATTGAAACTGTTAGTAGGAATAATAAGAAAAAAATCAATAGATATTCTGAGTCACTGGTGACACCGATTTAAAGGAGCAGTGGCTTTTTACCTAGTACTCTTTGTTATGATTTGCAGGAGTGTGACAGAAGCCTTAGTTATGGCTCAGAACTACACAGAACTCTCCAAGGAGTTAAATTTTCCACTTGACTCTTGTTGAAATAGCTAGCGCCATAATTCATGCTAATATCCGGCCTAAAAAATCAAAAGAGAATGCGGATTTCTTTTCCTAAATCTGCCAACAAATTAGCGACAGAGCAGCCACCAGCCTGCACACTGTGGTTTTCTCT